TACAGGTTTGATCATCAGGCTGCGTTCCTGCTCTATTTTCTGACCACGCAAGTACAGACAGGTCTGTGATTGATGAAAATCCCTTCTCCCAGAGGGGGTCTAACAGTGTGACCACCTGCCGGGCAGAGAGAGCAGAGGGGAAAATCCCTCAGGGGGACGTTGAGCTCAGACTCACTGGAGACGTGGATCTGTGGGAATGCAAATGTGGCGCACGCTGGGTGGGGGTAAAAACAGACTCCATCCAGGCTTTGCTGTCCACTCCCCTCCAGGCTCAAATCTAAATGATAAACTCCAGTTTATCTATTCCCTGCACACCCAGTGTTTATTAAAACATGTGCTTTCTCTCCCCAGCATCATCTCATTGTTACCAGACAGGAACCGCTCCGTCAGATTGCAGGATGTTCACTGGAGAGGCACAACCTCACTTCCTGTTGGCTCAAGACGGGCAGATCGGGTGTCACCCGTCTGTCATCATCACCACTGACCTTGTGAATGCGTCCCTGCGACCCCTAACATCTGGTTGAACAAACAGGGGCAAGCAGGCTGTCATCCTGTAACCCTGTAGTTCTCAAACTGGGGTACAAGCACTCCTGGTGGTACTTAGGCTGCTGTTAGTGGCCCTTAGAGGAAAGCTGAGTCCAAACCTGCTAATAGAGCTATGAGGGGCAAATAAGCTCAAAAGAAGCCAGAAAGCAATTTATCAACTTAAAGGAATAGTACACCCAAAACATGATTAGCCTTCATTTTCTACTCACCCCCATGCTGAACAACACTCTGGAGTACTTTTTTGATATCTCAAATGCATCTGGAGATCTGGGAGGCTTCTTGCTGTCTGCTGACATTCAAATAATGGAGGTCTATGGCGCCCGAGGCAGAAAGGTCCATAAAAGTCCACAAAAAACGTGTCAATATTCCTCCATACTGCTCGTCCAATGTATTCCAAGTGTCCTGAGTGGGTAGCGTCCAGAATTTACTCGAAACGAAGTCATTTAGAATGTTTTTAGAGCATAAACAGTAGTGTATAGGATTTCCTAAAAGCGCGTTCACGAGTCTACGGAAACTGCGGCAGACCAAACCAGATGAAAGTGCGCATTCAGCGTCTGCTCTGCCGATAATGCAAGCGTAGAAGAAGAAATGTGCTGTTTACCTGTGCAAAGAAAGAAACAACGAAAGAAAAATGTCTGAGGACTTCAGTGTTGAGGAAGAGCATGAGTTCTTTGCCGAGCTGAATGCGCACTTTCATCTGGTTTGGTCTGCCGCGGTTTCCGTAGCGTCGTGAACGCGCTTTTAGGAAATCCTATACACTACTGTTTAGGCTCTAAAAACATTCTAAATGACTTTGTTTGGAGTAAATGCTGGATGCTACCCACTCAGGACACTTGGAATACATTGGACGAGCAGTATGGAGGAATATTGACACGTTTTTTGTGGACTTTTATGGACCTTTCTGCCTCGGGCGCCATAGACCTCCATTATTTGAATGTCAGCAGACAGCAAGAAGCCTCCCAGATCTCCAGATGCATTTGAGATATCAAAAAAGTACTCCAGAGTGTTGTTCAGCATGGGGGTGAATAGAAAATGAAGGCTAATCATGTTTTGGGTGTACTATTCCTTTAACCCTTTAAAGCCCGATCAAGAATAAAACAAAACAGAACATTTTTTTTGGTTTGAAGTCCTTATTTGGACTTTTAACAAAATATGTAAAAAGAAAAAACATAAATACATCTTTTATATTAATAATTTATTACTATGCGATAAGTGAAGATTATTTTTTGTGTAGTCTTCTGCTGGCTTTTATCAGGTATATCTGATTGTGTACAATAGGATTTTGAGCAAAGTTTTTACCATTAAATTATGCAAAAGGTGTCAGACGCAAAACATTTCAGAAACCGTATGTATCAAATACGATACATTTGGCATTATAGGGTAAAACTTAACCACTGAAAAACAAGTGTGGGTGATTACTGTAAAAATGCTCATAGGTGTATATTTATTCTCCAGGTGCACAGTTTTATACGGTGGCCCTGAAGTCCAAACTGCAACTACAAATCTAAAAGCGCAACTACATTGACCTACCGGGAAAGGTAGGTACCAGTGGGAAACATGAGACATTGCTGATTGGACGCCGCCGCCGTTTGACCCTTGAACCGGAAGTCATTCTGCCTGCTGCGGCTTTTAAAAACATGGTTATTGTCGGCGCCCCAAACATAGCTGCCGTTATCCAGGAATATTTTGAATCAGGACATACGTACGAGGTGCTACTGGATATGCTCAAGACTAATCACGAAATTTCCGTTAGTTTGCGTACACTGAAGACACATTTAAAAGAAGCTGGACTGTTCAGACGACGCAACTTCCGGGTCAAACAGCGGCATCATCCAATCAGCGATGTCTCATGTTTCCCACTGGTACCTACCTTTTCCGGTAGGTTAATGTAGTTTTGTTTTCCTTAATGTAGTTGCGCTTTTAGATTTGTAGTTGCAGTTTACACTTCAGGGCCACCGTAGTTTTATATTGTTAAAACACTTTACAGTACAGTATTTTAGGGTTTATCTTTTAACTTCACATTTATGTTATTCTTATAAATACATTTTTCTAAGGTCCATGTTTGTGTGTCCATTTTTTTATAGATTTTCTGCTGCTGTAAAGACCAGAATTTCCCTATTGCCGACAGATCCTCCCACCTGAGCGATGCACTTCTGCAGCTCCTCCAGTGCTACTATAGCTCTCTTGGGTACATGTTTTAGTCGGTTTATCATTGTGCCATACTATTTAAACAACTTAAAGGTGTAAAGGAATATCTTTTATTTCTGGGTGGATCATCTCAATAAGTGGTCCTCCTAATTGTCAATCACATGTTAACATAAGGCCGTCCAACGCGCATGTTAACATAAGGCCGTCCAACTTCCCGTTAGCTATCTTTTTCTGTGCACTGTCAGGCATATATCTGTGGTGAGCTACGGTTTCAGACAGTCATCGAAGCTCACCTTTCTCACCGTGGTTCTTAGAAAATGATTGTAAGAGAAAAGAAAGGCCTCAGAAGAGGCAGATATATCCAGGAATGCTTTGCATGGAGAGCTCTCCTCGCAAAGCATTATGGGATTTGCTATCAGAGCGGCCCACTGTCGCCATAGGCTGCCGCTACCCGACAACAGCGACTAATAACAAAGATGGCACAGGCACTGCGCAGTGGAGGAGTTACATGAGCAACGGTGAGTAAAAAATAGTGATAATTTGTTCAAATGGTCAGTTAAGTGAGTTTGCTATAAAGTCCACTATTTAGTCCCCGCTCTATATAGTGACTGAGGGTACAGGGTTGTGCATGTGCATTTATTTTTAAAGTTGTAGGGCAGCGGCTGTTCCAAACGTTGCATTTCCAAATTCTCCCATGTGGTGCACGACTTTCCACGAGTGAATAAAGTGAATGAGTTTGGAGGAAGGTTCGCAAGCTCTTTGGTTGGGGCTGGTTTGTTGGAAGCATCTTGCTAACCAGTTAGCAACTCAGTGCTAGCAGGTTCCCAATGGGAAATTCCATTGGGAACAAGAAGCACTAAATTGATGACTTAGAAACGACACTGTCAAGGAACGCTATGGACAGCGGAAACATGCAAGAGGAGGAGAGTTTAGTGTCGGAGGTCGTGGATGAGTCTCCATTATTTAGAGGAGGAAAGCGGGGACGAAGATGTTGTGGAAGAGGACGCCAGGGCGGCAGAAGCTTGGTTTGGTGTAGAAGGCTTCCAGCCGTACATGTTTGAGCCCTTGCCTCGCAACGCTGCCAGTTCTGTTAGCTCTACGCCTGCCGAAGACACAGACGTCCATCCCCGTGAACACTGGGACGGAACTCAATGGGAAAGGAAACGATTCGGATTTCAACCGTTGCGCATACTAGCTGCGACATATGAATCAAGATGCTATGATGATGATGCTATTCTATGGTATCGGGGCCATATTTGTTGGTACTCGCCAATACCAATACCACCATTTTAGTGCTGGATCGGGGCCCCGCCCAAAACTGGTGTCGGTATCGGTGCAAGACTAGTTTAAAGCTCTACATTTGTAATAACAGGCCTCACATACTGGGCCAAAGAACCAATAAAAGTCAGTGAGTCTTTACTGGAACTAATAAAAATCACCTCTTCTGTCACAAATATGACTTCATGCTCCTTCTCTTGCTTTTAGTCCACCTGTAGATCCTCGCTACAGGTGGACTAGGTAGATTACTCGCATGTAGACCTGTTTCTGTGCACAAGTTCAACTTTTGCTACTTTGAGGGTGGAACCAACCTCTTAAAAAAGGACTGTTTTCTTTGTTGTTGGTGCTTGTAACTTTAGCATTGCATCTTCGGGCTAAGAGCAGAAATCTGACTTTATCCAACATTCATCTTTATGGTCAACTTACAATAAAAAAATGCTGGACAGAAAAGGAAAAAAATGCTTTAGAGTCGCTGCAAAGTGATTAGAAATTAATTTTCTGTGTTTAACAATAAATGATTTTATTCAAGCCTCACGTTATTAGCAACGGCGGGAGTGGCAGCCCAGTGGATAGGGTATAAAGCTTGGAATCATATGAGGTTGTGAGTTTGAAACCCACTCCCACAGCCTCCATTCTGACTCTCTGACCCTTAACCTCACACTGCTCCCCTGGCGCCGCACAGTGGCAGATTAAATATAGGGAGTGAATTATTAAAATGATGTTAATGAGCGTGTATTTTAATTAAAACTGGACCCCGCCCGATACTGGTATCGGCATCAGTGCAACACTAGTTTTAATATAAGAAAATATGGAAATATTGAAGCCAAATTAAAAAGCTTTTTTCAGGCACTTTAGTCCTAATGAGAAAATTGCACCCGGAACTAATGATTGCAGCTCTTACTTTATTAAACCACATGGAAACAATGATTACGTTGCAGATTTGGGCTATGGAAAGACCATTTTTAATTTAATTCTGGCACCCTTTTCCACCCATATAATTAAAGATGTAGTGTCCTTATAATACTCACTCATTTCTTTCCAGGTGTAATGTGAGCTGCTGACCCTCAGCTGAGATCAGAACCTGGACCTCTGCTGGATGCTGGACACATAAACACAGATGTTATCATTGCATCATATTGCTAATTGGAAACAGTTTTTTTTTTATTTGACAATCATTTGAGATTGATCACAAACCTCTTTGTTAGCAGATCTGATGTGCCTGACAGGATGCAGCCACACAGGAGATGTAATCTCATAACTCTGGATGTGTTCGAGGCTCTTCGCTCTGTTCTGCTTCTTTTCTCCTGCTGGAAATACCAAAGAATTGCTGATAAACATATGAAAAAATGTGTTTTTGTTTTTAAAATAAACCAACGCATCTGTGTCCAACGCGTGCATGCTTTAATATCAAACATTAAACTAGAAAACACAGATTTGCTCCAACAAAAGCAGCCTCACCGTCAGAAACAGCGTCCCCGGAGCGAACAGCAGAGACTCGGTGCAGAAAGACCGTGAAGCAGAGACACAGGGAGACCCGGAGGACACCGAGAGCAGGAGGAAGCATCCTACCGAGCGGAGAGCAGCCTGCATGGGATGGATGGTTCACAGCAGACGGCGCAGAGGCATCGCGGAAAGCCGCTCCTGCTGCTGCGCTCAGGCTGAATGAGATGCTGGGAGCGCAGAGGAACCATCAGCCCCTCCCTCTCATTCAGGGCAGGATGTGATGAAAGGAGCCCAGAAATACACTGATCACCCCTAAAAATACTATTACTTCCCTCTACATATCCAGACATATATATATATATATATATATATATATATAACACTTTAATGACTTTCTATTTTTTATTTAACATATTTATAATGATCTATATTAAACATTTAGTTGTGTATTTTACAATTTTTATGTCTATATATATATGTGTATATAAATATATGTATGTATGTATATATATGCATATATGTATGTATGTCTATATATATACATGAATTCAACATACATATATATTCAATTCAATTTATTTCTATAGCGCCAAATTCACAACACATGTCATCTCAAGGCACTTTACAGTTCAACCAGATCCTCCAGTCAAATTGATACAAAGTTTTCTATCTAAGGAAAACCAGTTGATTGCATTGACTCATTGAGTCAAATACAATCCCTCACACTAAGCATGCTTGTAGCAACAGTGGAGAGGAAAAACTCCCTTTTAACAGGAAGAAACCTCCAGCAGAACCAGGCTCAGTGTGAGCGGCCATCTGCAGAGGCCCACTGGGGTTCAAGGAGACAGAGGAAGAGATACAAAAAGCAGCTTTAAAAGGCAGCCCCGTCCAGGAAACACACAGCCGGGCAGACGAGCACCAAGCCAGCTCCCATGTCAGAGGATGAAGAGAGGACATCCAGTTAGTCACAGTCAGAGAAACAGGACCACACTGGAAAACAGGCTGATCTCCAGCATCTGTAAACAAAGGTGTTGATGGAAGCAGCACAGCTGACGTATATATACATGTATGTATGTATATATTTATGTGTGTGTGTGTATATATATATATATATATATATATATATATATATATATATATATATATATATATATATATATATATATATATATATATATATATATATATATGCATATATATGCATATATATGTATGTATGTATATATACATACATTTATACACACATACATACATATATATGTATGTATGTATATATTTATATATATATATATATACACACACACACACATATATATATATTTATACAAACATACATACATATATATCTATGTATGTTGCTACATTCATGCTGATTTTTGCACAATTTCTATCTTAGTCAGTTAAATAACCTGCTGCTGTCATTTTTGCACATCTCTAATGTTGCTGCTATATTCAGATATCCATTACTGTAAAAATGTCCATAGCTCTATATTGTTTATTTATTCTCAAGATGCACAGTATTTATATTGTTAATCCATTGTACAGTACAGTATCTAATCTATGTTTTTATTCTGTCACATATTCTTTTATTTTTTATACACTTTTCAAGGTTCACATTTGTGGGACAATAAAGGATTTTCTATTCTGTTCTAAAGGGAGTGTTGGGTTAGTGATTAGAGCAGAGCGCTTGCACTCTGAGAAGGTCTCAAGTATCTGGTTCAATCCCCACAGCCTGCACTATGGGTCCCTGAGCAAGACCCTAAACCCCACACTGCTCCTTGGGTGCCGCACAATGGCAGCCCACTGCTCCCCAAAGGGAGGGGTAAAATGCAGAGGGTGAATTTCCCCAATGTGGGACAATTAAGGGATTTATTTATTTTTAAATAAATGCATTTTCAAGTGATACAAAATGTTAGATCTACTTATTGAATGAGATATTCCCATTGAAGTACTTTATGATACATTATTGCCTCCTTATACCTCAGACATCACATCACTTTGAAAATATTGACTTTGTGACTATATGACTTTGAAAATATTCTCCTAACCCTCTACTAGTTCAGTTTCTTACAAACCTCTGGGGGTATAAATGTGTGACATCTACTTATTTAATTTTATATTTTACTCACATTTATGTCTTTCATCATTTATGTTTTGGCTCTCTGTATTCCAAAGAAATGGCAACACAACGATGAGCTAGAACAAACTCCTGACCTGCACTTGATCTGGTGGATATTCTTCAATTATACAGAACGATGGATAAAACCTACAGGCTGAAAATAATAATTATCACAGAGGTTCATTCATCCAACAATGCAGCACTGTGATTAGTTAATAACATCTAGTTTTACATTTCTTTAATGGAACTTTAGATCTCAGCCAGCTACAGGTGTAACCAAACTAAGAGGCTGTTGTAGGCCTCCAGGCCAGCAGGGGGAGCCAAACTCCAGTTTAATAACTCAGTAAGTCTTTATTCATACTCCCTTTTATACATAGCTGGTATAAACTTACAAGCAGATTTTAACAAAATGAAATGTGAAACAAAAACACCAGAAAAGTTAATCTGATGTGGAAAAAAAAATAAAAATCATATTTTTTTAAACTGCAACGTTAAACTGAGGTTGACAGAACTCTGTCAGGAGGAAATATGGGAAACAGTGACTAAATAAATATAAAAAAACTCAAAAGATTAAAAATTTTCTAAACAGAGCAGGTATAGCTACCATAAAAAATACATTGCTGTAAAAATAATTAGTAATATTTCAGTCAAATAAATGCAAACAGCCCTTCTGTATATTATATGTTTGATTTCCCATACAGAATATTGAATTTATTCAACTGTTTCTTTACCGAAAATACAAAACAAGTTTATTCTTTGCTAAAAGAAAGTAAAATATTGATAGCCATTTTTATAAAAAAAAATAAATGAGTAATTTCAATTCTTAGATTGTTTCCCTCTTATTTTCTATACCTCTGATGACATCAACTGGTTTATCCAAAAGTTAATTTGTATTTCTGACATTTTGAATTGAAAAAGCTTCCTGGGTGGGAAGCGAAATGTCTTCAATCTTGGAAACAAAGTCCAGTGGATTGTTTTTTTTTTTACTTTTTGGAATGACTATGACCTGGATGACTGAGAATCTTCACCAGCACAATGGAAAAGCAACTGGAAAAAATGTTTTCTGCCTGCATATTAAGAGAAATCAAAGAACCACTGAACAGAAATGACTGAACTTCCAGCATCACAGTAAAGATCAGAATCAGCTGTTTTTCTTTTTTATTCCCTGACAGCAGCACAATGGGATAACACCTCAGCACGGTTCATTCATGCCATCTTTAAATAACTGCACCACTTGTCTCAGCATGTGCTTGTTTCTAATGTACGGCCATTTGTCGAGTCATTGTCTGCAGACGGAGACAGCCACCCCTCAAAGCAAATGGAGTCACAGCTGGTTTGATTTATGCAGAATTAAAAAAGATCTTTTTTTTTTTTTTTACTTAACCAATATTCACTTCCTATTATGTGAACTACAGTACGATGCCCAGGTTTTTAAGGAGCTTGCAGAATCAGAAATAAAGTTGTAACACTCCAGTGTAACTGAGCCCACTACAGTAACAGAATACAGTAATCCTGCAGCCGCCGCTCATACTGGGCCGGTCACTGGAAGTGTGATGATAAATATGTCAGTGGGTAGAGTGGATGCAGGGTGTGGGAGGTATTCTTAGCCCTGTTGACAGTGCAGACCAATGAAACCATTCCTACTGGGAGCCTCGGATACATTATGTTTAATTTAGTTCATAAAAGTTTGTTTTTTTCTGCACATTGTGATTTTTTTTTATAAAATCTATTTTCTAAGAGACTGAATGAAACTTAAAGCTAATGCATAAAATGATTGGAGGTCCAGGGAGGTTTTAAATATCAGGTGTTGGTTGTATTTGAATGCCATTCATGATATCACATGAGGACGTATTTTTAGAGAGGTAACCCCAGTAGAGCAGGATGGACAAGGCAAGACATGCCGCAGGTCGGATAACTGATAATGGAAGAAACAAATATGGCTGCACTTTAACAGGTTATAATGGAAATGGCTTAATAAATTAAACAAATAGGCTACAGAAGAATAATGGTGTTAGAGCGGCCATATTTAGCTTCAATGAAATTTTCCATTTGTATTTTGTTCCATTATTTTAGCAAATAACGTGTTTTTAAATCTAAGTTTGAAAAAAATGCAATCCATAAACTACTCTTTTAGGGGGAAAAAAAGGTGTTTGAGTGTAAATTTTTTAACTTTTCTTGTTAAATTTATTTTTACAAATTTTTTTCACATTTCTTTCAGATTTTATATTTTTTAGGAAATGTTTTAAATGTTTTTTCTTTTTTTTTTACAGACTTTACAAGAGTCGTTTTTCAAATGTATTTTCTTTTAATCTTTTTAGAGATTTTATATTTCCTGATTTGTGTTTATGTTTCTTTCATCTTTTTAGATTTTTTCTTTTCAGAATTTCTTTTCAATTTCTTTTTTTTGATTTTGTATTTTCAGATTTTTTTTTTTTTCAAATTTCTTTTTTCAGTTTAAGTTCTAGAAATTGCATTAATCTTTAACTACATTTCAGAGATCACTCTTCATGTTGTGTGGGCGGTTTTCCCATATGAGCAAAGAAAGCTTTCTATTGGTCTGCAGCGACGTTAGCAACATTTTCATTGATCAAGAGCGATCGTTTGTATTGGGAATGTTTTCTGTACAATAAAACTTTAAAAGAAGCCAATTCATAAAACTAAATCTAATAAACATATTTTTTGCTTAAAAAAAAAGTGTTGAATAGAATTGGAATTTTTTTTTAAATGTCAAATTTGTAAAAAAAAAAAAAAAAATGGTTACAAATGGCAAAAAAAAAATAAGTCTGAAAAAAAAAAAGTGTTGAATAGGATTGGAAATTTTTTTTAAATGTCAAATCTGTAAAAAATGGTTACAAATTTGCTAATTCTGGAAAAAAAAAGAAACCAAATCTGTGAAAACATCAAAATTACTCTCAAAACCAACGATTACATTTTTTTTTGTAAAGTTTAATAATGTCAGGATTGTAATTTTTATTTACAAAATGTGTCCTTTGCTCGTGAAAATATTGACACAAAATTCCCTCCATATCGCGGCGCCTCTTCAGTCAGAGTCTCTGAGACGCAGCAGTAAATACTCTGAGCTCAGAAATGTTTTTTTTTTGTTTTAAGAAGAGGAGGTGTCAG